TCTCTCTCTCATCTCTCTTGTCTTTCTCTCCCTGTGTATGGGATGAAACTCAGGACCTTTTGCTTGCCAGGCGGACACTTATTTTGCTGAGCTGTCTGTCTGGCCCTTTTATTCTTGATTCTTAAGGTAGAAGCTGAAATCACTGATTTGAGAACTTTTCTAATATAGTTATTTAGTACTATTTCCTCTTATAGGAAATAGTAGGTGTCTTCTTCATTTTAATTCTTACTTGATCTTTTCTTTGATCTATAAACTTTTTAGAAGTATGTCATATAGTATCCAAACATTTGAGTATTCTCCAGAGATCTTTCTGCTATTGATTTATGTTATAATATATTTTATGTAATTTGAATTTTTTAAAATGTATTGAGATTTTTATGGTACAGAATATAATTTATCTCAGTAAATGTTTCTTCTTTCTTTGAGAAAAATATACATTCTGCTCTTATTGTGTCAAGTATTTTATAAATGTTAATAAATCCATACTGGTTGATGATATTAAGTCCACTATATTCTCCCTTAATTTCTCTTTGTGTCTATTATTGAAAAGTTTATTGCAATATCTACCTATAATTATAGATTTGTCTGGGTCCCCTTAAAGTTCTGATATAGGAGAACTATAACTCCCAAACTGCTACATGTCAGATGTACTGAGTTTGTATGTCCTGAATATCAAAGAATGAATCCCAAGGGGTAGTAATAGCCCTTCCTAGTCCTCACCTTGGTCCAGAAAATTTATATTTGTGGTCCCATGAATAAGTTATTGGAATCCCATCAAATTGCTTTCATTCTACTATATTCAGTGTAAACCATGGTGATAATAAAGACATATTTGTAGTTATGGGGAGTCAAGGGGTCCTAAGTCCAGCCATGATGATGGCTGTTCAGAATAAAGACCTAAGCTGGGTTTTATTCAGTCATGAAGGGAATGGCTTGTAGATAATTGACTGCTAGAATAGCAAGAAGCAGGTGAGTGACATGAGCTGAGCTAGGAAGAAGGCCTGCATTCACTTCTGATATATATGGAAAATTAATCTACATTGTGCTTAAAGCCAATTGGAGGAATAAGGAAAAGTCCTATCCAGCTCTGTATATATTAATACTTGGACATAGTGTCAGGCACAGTCAAAATGGAGACAACTGCTCCTCTTTCAAGGAGAGTAGCCCAGGTGGTCCTCTACAATAATGGAGTTTAGTAATAGGAAAGGTTTATTGAATGAGAGCTCTTAAGAGTCAGGGGGGTCCTGCAAGTGGGTTACCATCGAGGCCTTTTGTCGGGAGTGATTTATACAGCGAAGTCAATATGAGTGCAATGTGGGTCTAACTGCAATCAACCTATAGGATTACAAGTGTAGGGGCTTAGCTTATCTTGATCCAATAGAAAAATGAGTTATGCAGCAAGGTTACATGGAAAGAACAAAGGATTTTTGGAGAGGGATGGGTCCAGATGCTCTGGTCACCCACCTGGGCAGCTGACATCTATATGTATTTACTGGACCAGGTGATACTAATACAGTATAATCTCAAGCTGTTTTTTATCTCTTAGGGAGGCATGGAGGCTTGGCTCTCTTGATGTCTGACCTTCTTCAGTTGCACCTCCAGCCCTAATTCTGATATCTTTGTTTTTGTGTTGACTGCTTTGAGGGCCAGCCCCCCACTCAGACTGTGTATTAATTTCTATCTAACTTGGATGACGCCTATAATAGTTCTATCAGTAGTATCAGTCAATTGCAGAGATGTCAACACAAGAGAACATATATAACATTTTGGGGGTATTTTTCTAGAGGGATGAATGACTTATTTATTCTTCATATATATCTTGTGAACAGTGTTTCTTATAAGGAAGTGACAGTACAGAATCTGTCTGAAAGATAAGTGACACAGTTTTCAGGTCATCAGCAGAGTTGATGGATGAGAGAATTGCCACAAACTTTCTTCTTGCATATCAAGGCTGAGTTTGTGTTATATGTACTGCTGTATTTGGAGAATTCTTTGGGCCAAGGAGAAGACAGCATGGACATTTATTTGGCTGCTTGGGTTTGGGGCCCTGGAGGTCTGATTTAAATCACTGTAAAGATTGTCTTCATTCTGCTGCTTATAGTCCTCTTGATGATAGTCTTAATTCTGTGTGAGACAAGTTGAGCATATTCTGCTACTAGATTAGTCACATGTATCCTTATATTAGTCACATTTACCAAAAGCCAGAATGGTACAAAGATGAAGGATAGAGCTTGTATGGTGGCACACACCTGTATCCCAGAACTTGAGGTTGATGCAGAATTGCCACAAGTTTGAGGCCAGCCTGAACTACAAAGAGAGATCCTATGTTACCCCCACCTCCAGATGAGGAGTGGATAACATTGGAAGGCAGTTTTCCCTAGTTCTTATACTTTTTCTGCATACCATTCACATAGATGCAAGGACAAGCTTTTCTTCTGGATGGTATTTTAAAAGATCTTTATACAATAAACAGCCTTGATTCTTGTCCCACCCTTGGGTGTTTCTTCGCAGACACATGCTAATCCATATTCAGCCAGATACTTGAGAGTGGCTTTGCTGATCTCCAGAGTTTTCTCTCTGTGCAGCTTTTCCCTTTCTTTTTATTTTTTATTTTATTTTATTTTATTTATTTTTGTGAAACCGGGGATTGAACTCAGGCCCTTGCACTTGCCAGGGAAGTGCTTATTCCACTGAGCCATCTCCCTGGCCCAGCTTTTCCCTTTGTAATACTGTATCCCCAAACTCAAAAAATAGGTTCTTTGACCTCTTTGACATCCCAGCTCTGTCTCCTCAGCTCAGGAGACTGGATTCCCTCCTCAGTGGCAGCCTCAAAGCCCTCTTTAGTCGGTGAGCTAGGAAGTTACCATGAACATCTTGGTTTCCCATTTCTTGAACAGCTTTCTTCTTCATTGCCTGATAGCCAGTATATTATGAGCCATTCTTTCATATAGCTTGCCTTATTTTGTTGACATTTCAAGAGGAAGAATAAATATGATTTTTATTACTGATTAGTCAGAAGTGAAAATCCTGATTTTTCATATTAATTCTGTATGAATAGAGATACTCTGTTGTCACATGTATGCCCATGTAAGTAACTATTGCTGATACACAGCTAGAGTGAAAATAATGAAAAATGTGACCGGGTCACTCTTGGGTTGCTCTATGTGGAGCAGAATCCAAAGTTGTGGGTTCTCAGCACAAGTGCTTTTGAGGTTAAGACTTGCTGGGCCAGTATAAGCAGGTGAATTTGCCCATACAGAAACAGTAGTAGTGGTTTCAGATATTTCTTAACACTTAGATTTTAGAAAAGCCTTAACTATAAAACATGTATGATTTCCATCCACACTAATCCAGTTTGTCAGTTGGTGATGATCTAAGCATGCAGTTGTTTCCTATGAGACAATAGGGAAATACCAATTACTCTTAAGTTTGCCTATGTTTTTCTCTTTAATATTTTTAGATGGAGGCTCCACAAAGAGTAATTCCTGTAATTCTTCAAAACTGCATTTCATATTCACTCATGGCTAGACTTGCTCCAGCCTGGAATCAAGTTGGCCATCTCTTGGTACAAGGTAACGCTCTTATCTATCAGTCATTGAGAGTTTCTGTGGTAGCTTGCTTCTATTACATATACCTGTTTTTAATTTCAAGATATCTCATTTTTAGGGAATTGTTCTTAGAACAACCCCAACTAAATGTTCTTAAGGAAGCCTACAACATAAATGTCATCTCCTTACTTTGGAATTACATAGATATGCCTGTTGATATTTTAGAAAATCCCCTTTTATTATTTTAATTTTTCTCAGTACTGTAGATTGAATCAAGGGCTTTTGTACTGAGCTATTATTTCCAGCCCCGCCCCCCACTTTTTTTTTTTTTTTTTTTTTTGGCCAGGGATTGAACTCAGGACCTTGCATTTTCTAGGCACGCACTTATGCATGCAACTGAGCTACTCCCCAGCCTCCAGCCCTGTTTATTTTAATATTTTTATATTTTTATGAGGCAAGGTTGCTGAATTGTTCCAATTGTGCTCCAGTTTGTAATCCTTCTGCCTCAGCCTTCCAGGGCACTGGCATCTGGCTTTACTGGCACACCTCACTGTGCCTGGCTAAAAACCTTTTTATTGTGTAGTATTTGATCCTTAGTGATAAACATATGATGAAGTATTATGAGGAAAGGAACATACATTGTGTCAATACTGCTAGAATCAAAAGTCAGTCAGAATTTTTTATTTTCTAGGTATTTTATAGCAGGAGATAATTTTGTGAGGGAAGAATAGATATTTTTATCCCCTTTTTTTGTATTTAGTATAGGGTCTGCTGGGTCTCACTACGCAGATCACAGTAGTTATCCTCCTGTGGTTAGCCTCCCAAATGCTGGGCTTATAGGCACGTGCCACCATATCCAGTCTCGATATTTTTATCCTTTTAATTGAAGAGATACTATTTCTTTTATATTTTTTCTAAGTGTCATATGATATTCCTTTATATAAGTTTATTTTCCCTTTACTTTCTTAAGTTCATATGAAAGATATATTCATCCAGCATTATTTGAGTTAAAATATAGAATTTTTTTTTAGGAAAAGATTTTCTTTCTCGAATGGAAAAGCAGAGTGCTATTGGTAAGTGAAAGTATAAAAGTCAATAAATAAGACATTAATATAATTAACAGTTGTTTTAAAATGATGTTACAGATCATTGGGTTGTTATAATCTTGATGATTATGTTATGTTGAAGCAGGAGACAGGGAGTCCCAGTGTAGATAAAAGCTGCTTACCTCATGGCAGCCAGGAAGCAGAGTGAAAGGGAAAGAGCCCAAGAAAGAGGAAGGAGTTGAGGACAAGAACATATCCTTCAAAGACTTGTGATATACTTCCTCCAAGTGGGGCTCACCTCCTGATAGCCCATTTGGCTATGAACTCGTCAATGTGTTAATCCCCTGATGAGGTTGGTGCCCTTGTGATCCAGTTACTGCTTTAGGCCCCACCTCTGAACATTACTGCACTGGAGGTCAAGCCCTCAATGTGTGAATCTTTGAGGGAACATTTCATATTTAAACCATAACAGCTTTCTTTGGATAAGAGCCCTTCCCAAAGTCATCACTATCCTGACTTGTCAGAAGTATTTATGAAACAATAAGGAAGTGGTCCCAGGGTTATAGGAAATCTGTAATTATCTGTGAACATATTTGAGGAAATTTGTTAGTAAAAAATCATTCAAAAACCAACTGTGGTGGTATACATCTGTAATCCCAGCACTCAGGAGGGTAAAGCAGGAGGATTGATGTGTGAATTCAAGGCCAGCCTGTCTAGGCTACAAAGTGAGTTCAAGGCTTGCCTGAACTGCATAACAAAACCCTGTCTCAAAAAGACAAAAAAAACCCTGACACCCCCCCACCAAAAAAAACCTATTCAAGTCAGAGGGCTAGTATGAGATGACTTCTTCTTCTTGTTCTTCTTCTTCTCCTCCTCCTCCTTCCTCCTCCTCCCTCCTCCTCCCCCTCCCTTCTTCCTTCTCCCTTCCTCTTCCTCTTCTTCTCTTCCCCTTCTCCTCTTCCTCCTCCTCTTCTTCCTCCTTCTCTTCCTCCTCCTCCTCCTTATCCTTCTCCTTCTTCTTCGTTCTTCTTGGTACAGGGTCTCACTATACAGCTCGGACTTGTATTGATCTTCCTGTTTTCAGCCTTCTCAGTGCTGGGAGTACAGGCATGCACCACCATACCCCATCTTGATGGCTGGTTCAGCATGCCTGGGGATGGGGCTAGTGCAGCATGTGGTACCAGGGATTGAAACCTGATCCCTGTGCTTGCCCAAGCAGGTGCTTAATTCGCTGAGCTATCTCCCTGGTCCTTATCTGTTTCTAATATACAATGGGTATCAGACTAATACAAGGTATTTGTTGGGTTTTCTTCTTAACTGTACAATGTCTTTTTAAATTATTATTATAACACTGTTCTGTGAGTTCCTTCGTATGTGTCCACTTTGTTTCATACCTTTATCTTTTAAAACTTTTACATGTAAACATGTTATATAGTAATTATTTATTTTTATTTTAATTATTTAAATTTTACTCTGTATTTAAAATATTCTTCACTTAGTTTCTAACTTGAGTAAATTAATTTTTATTAAAATACTCTGCTTAATTGTGGAGAGTTCACATTAATTTTTTTTTTCAGTATTAAACGTCAATGTAACAGAAACTCAAGTTTGTCTAAGTATAGAAGTTTGCACCATCAGACTGCCACCACCTGAGGTATCACATACTTGATTTCCACAATTTATGATGTTTACTACTAATATATATACATACATATATATATTAGATATGTATGCTATTAGATTTTCATTTTTAATTATGAATGCCGTGCTACAAAATTCTTGATATATTTATGCATATTGTTCTAAAGCATCTCGAAAGAAGATATTCTGTTCTTTTAACACAGGTCTTACCATATTATCCCTTGTTCAAATTTCCATTATCCAAAATTCTACCATCTTGCCCTGTCTCAGCATCTACTTCTTGCCTTTTCTTTTATCTCCAATATTAAAGCACAGTTTCAGCTCATACTAAATGTAATGTTCCCCCCATCCTTGTTTGATAATTTTTTTCTATTTTTATACATAATACTTTCTATATCTTTTGTAGAAAGTTATATCTTCTATTTTGCTTCCTTCCCAGGAAGGCACCTGGTATAGAGCCTTCCTTACACATTAGTCATCACAATAAATGTTATCTTTTCCCCCTTCTATACAAGTAGTTTCCAACAGAAGGAGGTAGAAGAGAAAAGAATTATTTTACTTTCCATGAATCACGTTTGCCAGTCTACAAACAGTGGTTTATCACAGTGAAGAAGAGATAGTGTCACTGTTGGCATCTGTCATAGGAGCCTATCTTTCTAGTCACTCACTCCAGGAAAGATTTTTGGTGTATACGGACAGTTGAGTGGTACAGAAGACTAATTTCTACTTGGAAGTAGCTGGCTTTTTTTCCCCCTAAATTCTATTCCTCCAAGTTACAGTTTTCTAACTCTTGATCTTTCATCCTACTTATGGAATTTTAAAAAAGATATATCATAAGAAATGAGATTTCCACCCTTATTTTTACAATTAAAGCTTTCAAAGAAGTAGTTGAGTGTTTGTGGGAGTACTGAGAATCAACATCAAGATCTCACGCTTGCCAGGAAGGCACTGTTAGCAGGGAGCTACATCTCCAGCCCCTTAAAGAAGTATTTGAAACAATAATCTTCTGATTTCTAAATTTTATTTTATTTTATTTTTTTTTTTAAAATTATTTATTTATTTATTTATTTATTTATTTAGTGTGTGGTCAGCTCAGCCCACCAGGGGGTGGGGCTGGCTGGCATGTGGTGCTGGGGTCCCTGCTTAACTTAAGCTTGTTCTAAGTAGGTGCTTTAGACCACTGAGCCATCTCTCCAGCCCTGATTTCTAAATTTTAGACTGTTAAGCTTTTCAGTAATATTTTTCTGGAAGTCATTTCAATGTTTAGAAAGGAACTTATATATATAAACTACTATTTTATTGGTTGATACAGTGAGATTATAACTAAATCCACAGTTACATGAGGGATGTATTTGAGAAAAGCATTTTGTAATCTTAATTGTTTTCCTTGAATAATTAATTGTATGGAACATTTTGGAATTAAGCATCTGGAAATAGATATCTATTTATTCTAACATCAACTTTTCAGGGTCATTATGGGTATGTGTAGGGTGCTGATGGAAGTGATCATCTTTCCTCCTGAATTTTTATTTAGGTCAGAAGAAAAGCTATATCCATGCAAATAAACCAAAAGATGAGAACATTTACTAAGCACTGATGAATCTTTACATACAACCTCAAAACAGAGATTTAGAATCACAGTAAAATTTCCAGTTCTACACTTAATAGTAGAATATCTTACTTTTCTCCCTGAACCATAGTTTTCCTTGTAAATTTTTTTTTTCTTCCAGAAACAGGGATTGAACTCAGGCCCTTGCACTTGCCAGGGAAGCGCTTATTCCACTGAGCCATCTCCCCAGCCCTTTCCTTGTAAATTGAAGATAATGATATCTATCTTATAGGATTATGAGGAAATTAATAGGATAAAGTACATTGGGTAGGGGCCGGCGAGATAGATCAGCAGACTAAAACACCTGCTTAGGCAAGTGCAGGGACCGTGGTTCAATCCCTGGCACTACATGCCATGCCAGCCCCACCCCCCAGAGCATGCTGAGCCAGCCAGAGTCCTGGCATGGTGGTGCACTCCTATAATCCCAGCACTGGGGAGGCTGAATACAGGATGATTACAAGTCCCAGCTATGTATAGACCCTGTAACAACAGAATACATTAAAAAAATATTAGGTGATTCACACAGCAGATGGCATAAAATAAAAGTTAAAATATGATGAAATAAAAAAATTAAAAAAAAATGGGGCTGGTGAGATGGCTCAGTGGTCTAAAGCACCTACTTAGAACAAGCTTAGCAAAACACAGGGACCATGGTTCGATCCCCCAGCACCACATGCCAGCCAGCCCCGCCCCCTGGTGGGCTGAGCTGGCCGCGCACACACACACATAAATAAATAAAAAAATTTTTTTTTAAAAAGTTAAAATATGATGGCTAATATTGTTTTATAAGTAAATGAATTGAAACACCAGTTTAATAATTGCTCTAGATCATAAAGGTAATCAGTAACAGATTCAGTATTTAGAGTTTGTTCTTCAGCTCTATTCCTTTTGCTGTAACATAGTTTCTTTACTTGTATGGTTCTTGGTTCACATTTGTTTGCCTCACAGTTTTCTGTTTGTTGTTTTTCTGGTCTACTGGTGATTGAACCCAGGGCCTTTGCACTGAGCTACATCCTCAGCTCTTATTAAATTTTTATTCTGAGTAAATGTCTTGCTGTGCCAGGCTCAAATTTGCCATTCTCCTTTCTCAGCCTCCCAAAGTGCTGAGATTACAGGTTTTCACCACCACACCCAGCTTCCATATGAATAATAAAAATATACAGTTAAATAACAGTTTTGTGCAATGTAGTGTCATTTTTTTTCTTTTTTTCACTTTTCCTTTATTTTTTAATAGATTACAAATTGAAAATAAATTATTTACGAGCATAAATGAATATAACAATAAAAACTGTCCAAAATAAAAATGAAGAAAGAATTTACAGATCAGTCATAATGTAGTGTCAAGTTTTATAGGCATAGCATTACTTTTGGATTTCAGACAAAAAGGAGGTGTCTAGGGGAATTTATCTTTGAAATCACTGGAATAGTTACATGAAAATAATTTCCTTTCTTGAGTTCTAAGAAGTTACTTCTTTTGTAGAATCTTCTACCATTTATTCATAGTTCTTTATCTTAATCACATTAGATGTTGCTGTTTCCTACTATTTGATTCTCAGCCCTCTTCTTTGATCGTTAGCAAGTTTACCCATCACACTGTTCAGCCTCCACAACAATACCTCTCATATTGTTATGGTTTTTGTCTAGTTGTCCTCCACAAACCCTCATGCATTCACTGGGGCAGGTGTCTAGAGTTTGTGGTTACTGCATGATCTAATGCTGGGATTATGGGTGTGAGAATCACACCTGCCCTCTGACAGCCTGACTACAATGTAAGGGAGGGAGAGAGGCTTGCTAGCTACATCAGCTGCTGCTCCTCCCTTTGCTCTTTGCTGTCTTGTCCTTTGTCATGTACCAGTCTGCCTTGGGGCCAGCTGAATGTGGACTGAAACTGAATGTGGACTCCACAAACTGAGCTAAGTAAACCTTTCCTTCCTTAATGTTGGTTGTCAGGTATTTTGTCCCAGCAACCAGAGAAAAGACAAATATCTTCTTACATAATTTCAATTACTTGTGAAGAACATGGCAGAGCAGTAAATGGCTAAACAGTGGGGCAAAAGTACGCAAGGTCTGCAAGGAGTGAATGATTAACCCACAGAAAGCTTAGACTGGTGAAGCATGTTGTATGTGGCTTTCCCCAAGAAAACAGCATATCCCTGAGATGGTCTCTTGCCCCAACTACTTTTCGTTTGTGTTTTTCTCTTATACTGGTATTCTAAATAAAAACCTGAGAGTTCTCCCTAATGCTGGGTGTTCTCCTTTGAGGCAGCCTCTGTGGACCTCTTAGTGACTGAACTACATTGTCTCTGAGTAATCTTTCATTCTCTATGCACTACAATTCCTCTCTTGGCCACTTCCATATGAGTTATACTAGTACTCATAGTCAGTTATAGTTAAAACTGCACCTGAGTCCCAGATCTCTCCCTCCTTTCTATTACCCTTTTGGCTATTGGACTGGCATCAGAAGCCAATAAAGTGCATTCTTAGATTTCATAGTCAGCTCTGGCTCTTCATCTTGCTAAGTCCTCAGTCTATTTTGCCTTTAATAGCCTATCTTGGTCTCTAACCGGTTCTTTTTGTGTCTCCTTTTCTACACTCCTTCACCTCCAGCCATTCAACTGTTCTCCATGTGGGCCTTCTTATTTCCAGTCTCTTGCCTTCCAGTTCATTCTTTAGTTCTCTTTATAAATCAAATGTTCCTAACCTAAATATCTCTAACATCCTGACATTGACTGGAAAGTTAAATTCAATTTTTTATTAGCATCATAAAAGGAAGATTTATTTTGTACTTTCTTAGTATGTTTCAGTCACATAAATATACTTTCTAAATATTTGTTCAGTAAACAAATACAAGGTATTGGTATTCCCTTGGGTTGTGTGATAAGTAGCTGGGTAGCTTGTAGCCTTCAGTATAACCTGCAATGAGAAACAGCCATATATACATGTGCTCATATTATGGACAATTGTTTGAATCTTTGAATAGTGTTGAAAATGCCAAGAAGACAAAAACTCAAGCTATATAAGTAGGTATAGGTGAGAACCCATAATCTAAAAATTTGAACCTGAGGATATGGCTCAGTGGCATAAATGCCTGCCTTGCAAGCGCAAGGTCCCAAGTTTGATCCCTAGTACCAACAAAAAGAGAAAGAAAAATGCGTGACTTTGCTTTGGCGGCGGGGAGATGGCTTGGTAGAATAAGCGCTTCCCTGGCAAGCGCAAGGGCCTGAGTTCAATCCCCGGTTCTGCAATAAATAAATAAATAAATAAATAAATAAAAATAAAAATAAAAATTTGAACCTGATACCTGTCTTTCTGATTTTTTTTTTTTTTTTTTTTTTTTTTTTTTTTGGTAATACCAGGGATTGAACTCAGGACGCTTGCCAGGCAAGTGCTTATTCTATGAATTTTATTTTAGGTTATTTTTCCTTAGTATAGTCACCCACCTTCAACTTTTTCTGACATCTGACATTCATGGGTCCCTGCCCTAAACAACTATTTTTATCACATAATTCAGGCAGCTGAGTCTCTTTTTCTTTCTGTGTTTTTTCTTTCTCTCTTCCTTTCTTCTCTCTTCTTTCATTTTTTTTTGACCCAGGGTCTCATGTAGTTTAGTCTGGCCTTAAACTTCTGGCAATCCTGCCTCAGCCTCCTGAGTACTGGGCATACACCATCTCACATGGCAGCAACTGGTATCTTAGGCACAATACATTAAAGCAAAAGATTTATTTCTTATATACAAGATTCAGTGTACCCTTACTTAATCTGAGTGGCTTTGTATACTCTCGTGTTCTCTCTTTATGTCTCTATAGCATTAGGAAGTTGTCATAAAAACTCTGAGAAGGATAAAAGTGGAGATGCACTTTAGATTCAGGCCTGTAAGACTTTAGCTGATAATAGTCAGGTCAATCAGAGGATGGCCAGTGTTTTAAGCAAATATATCATTAAAATTCTAATAAATTTTGCAAGCAGTGAAAAGTGGAGTTCCTTGAAAACTCCAGTAAAGAGAAAGATAAAATATTGCTTCCCAGAAGATGCTAAGGCATTAAAAGGGGATGAAGAATTGTGACCATTCTTTCTAATCTTAATATAATGTCCTTTCACATATTAATATCTCACCTGAGGCCTCCTATAGCTATTAGAAAATATATCCCAGGAGACTTTGCAGAATAAGAGAACTATATGTAACTGGCAAACCCTTAATTGGCTACCTACAAGCTGAAATACCACACAGATATAAAACTTGAGGAATAGGAAAAGAGAAGTCTTGTTTTTTTGAGGTTGGGTCTTGCTATGTAGTCCAGGCTGGCCTCAAACTTGGAGCACTCTTCCTGTCTCAGCCTCCAGAGTGCTGGGGTTATAGGCATGCACCATGACGCCCAGCTAGGAAAAAAGAATTCTGAGTCAGAAAGGTAATATAAAAGGTAAATTAAGCATTAGTGCTATCATCTGCCCTCTAAAAGATCAGTTGTTATAACTTTCTTATAACAACTACTTTGAAGATAACAATATACAATGTATAAACCATTGTTAATTTCCTATCTTGTTTTGAAATTCTGTATAGTTTTGTTTTATTCTCTTTAAAATAAAATAAATTAAGTGAAATTAGTCACATGTTCAAATATTCACTTAAAAATACATAGTTTAAAAAATATAAGAAGCTATACTTTGCAAAAAATCAGCAGATGCTGGTGAGGATGTAGGAAAAACGGAGTGCTTTTACATTGATGGTAGGAGTGTAAACTAGGAAAAATGCAATGGAAATTAGTAGTGTAACTTTTCAGGAAACTAAAAATGGAACTTTCATTTGATCCAGCTATACTTCTCAGTATATTCTAGAAGGAGTTAAAGACATCATTCCATAGTGATACATGCATACCCATGTACAGCAGTCCACAATAGTAAATCTCTGAAAATAGCCTGAATGACAATCAGTGGATGATTGGACAAAGAAAATGTTACATATATACACACAATAGAATTTTATTAAGTTATAAAGCTAGATGAAAATGGAGTGCAGGAAAATGGAGTAGAAGTTAAGAGAAGAATGTTAATGGAGTATTACTCAATGTAAAGAAAGATAGACTTGAGGACTTCATAAGTGGATGTAACTAGAGATCATACCTGTGAGTGAAATAAATCAGACCTGCATGAGTAAACATCATATTGTCTCCCTAGTGTAAGAAACTAAGAAAGTAAATTAAGTCCAAAAGGTACACTAGATATTGTGAAAAGGAAAGAAAACTACTCAAAAGGAAAGAACAACTGGTATGGGGGAAAGGAGAAAAGAAAGAAGGAAGGCTAAAAGAAAGAAAAGTATATATATATATATATATATATGCACAAGATAGCTAAGTAATTGCACTACCAGTTTCTGTTGGTTTATTGAAAGGAACAGTTAATGCATAATTAATTTTGCATGCCTGTGTCTGACAATCTGAACAACTACTTTGAAGATAACAGTATGCAATATAACAACCATTGTTAATTTCCTATTGTATTATTTTGGAATTCTGTATAGTGTTTTGTTTTATTCTTTTTCAAATAAAAAAGAGTGAAATTAGTCACATAGAAAGTTAAATTTTGCATGGTTCCCCTGAGAAACCCAAAATATTGAGAGAAAGGAGAATCAAGCTTTATCAAAATTGGCCAGGCATAGTGGCACATGCCTCTAATTGCAGCATTCTGGAAGCTGAGGCAAGAGTATTGCCCTGAGTTTGAGGCCAGCCTGGCCTGCATGATGAGTTTAAGGCTTTCCTGAATTACAGAGCAAAACCCTGTCTCAAAAAAAAAAAAGTTAAGACTTAAAAAAAAAATTAAGATAGACATGTACTAAAAAAAATTAAGATAGACATGTACTAAAAAAAAGACGTATGTATTAATTCTCCAAAATGAAAATATTCTGTATTAGAAACACATAACAATAAAAAACTATTATATGAAATATTAAAGAAAAACCTTGAGAGGGATTCAACTTTTTATAAATTAGCATAACAAAAAACAAAACTGTTTGGCATTAAGCACAAAATAGGAGTTTTGGTTTCGAGAATAAAAACAAAGCATGAAATATTTCATACCCTGTATAGGAGAAATGTAAAGTGCTGGAACATTGATCCTAACAATACATACACACATATATGTAAGTTATTATATGTAACTCAGTAAAATTTAAGTCTTTAAAGATGCCAACTCATTGTATGATATCTTCTCTTAGTATTAGAAACTTTAAAAAGTATATTTCCATTTTCTGTTGACTTAAAAAAAAAAACAGATGTTTGTACCTATGTTGTTTATTTATTATTTCTTGCTTATGTCTTGTAATATGAGAAACTACTTTGGCAGTAACAATACACAATGTACTAACCATTGTTACTCTCCTAAAAAAAAATTAAATAAATTTTTTTAAAAAAAGATGCCAGGGGCTGGAGAGATGGCTCGGTGGTCTAAAGCACCTACTTAGAACAAGCTTAGCAAAAAGCATCAGGGACC